TTTGCCGGGATGCATTCTTTTTCTTGGTTAAATAACGATGTGTGGCGAGCTAGATAATACACGGCGATTTTATGTAATTAATGCCAAGTATGGTTGTGCATGTGTTTGATCTTTTAGAGTTACTTGCATTTGAATTACAGAACTGCAACAAAATTTTAAATTACAAGATTTAAATCGCTACTCGAAAATTTCTTGCAATTTCAATCCTTGAAAGAATGAAATTTTAGTAAAATATTAAATCATAGGATTAAAAAACAAAATGTCAGATAGCAGGATTAAAAATGCAATTTTGCAGCTTTTATTTGTTTGTTGCCTTGTTGGTGATATTCGATTGGTGAGGAAAGGAACCTGATAAAATTGCTGACCAAAGTGTGGTATTTCCTTTAAATGCTTGTGTTGCCAAATTCACAAGCTACTGAAGCATTATTATTATTTTTTTTTTAATATTGCTTATCAGATAAGAAAATGCTTGACCAAAACTATTTTGTGTTAACTTTATTGCACTAATGCCTGCGAAGGTTTTAAGGAAATCGGTACATTAGTTTTTGTTATACATTTTCTTTTAAAATTGCATTTAGTTTTATTTAAAATGGAACTTTAATAAATTTTCTATTATGCAACACTTATGTGTTATATGTTGCTTGTCAAATAAATATAATTTCTTTTAATCATCATATAAAATTGTACACTAATGTTATCAATCGATTAGTAGAAAAATTCAACGGATAAATTTATATGATAAATTATATATTTTTTTTATTTTCATCTGCTAATTAGGATTGATAGATGAGTTTATTGTCCAATTTGACAGTTCATATTTCATTATTAGAATATTTACTTGTTAGTTGTCTCATATCATTTATATAGGAAATATATGCCTAATTTATAAGTCTAACGGGCTACTCCTTTCACCAATTGATTTTTGGATGAAATTTCACTTGGGCTTTATTTGGGCTCTCTCTGCTTAGGCCATCTCCAACCGAAAAACTCATTCTCAAACTCATTTTGCAGTAACTGTCACATCAAACAGTAATTCATCTCCAACCGAAAAACTCATTCTCAAACCCAAAAGAATATTCTCAAAATATTCTCTTTTACATCTATTACAATTTTTCAATACTACTCACATATTCTACAAATTCACAAATTAGACCCATTATTTTGTATTTCATTTGAACAATATATAATTAATTTACTGTAATTTAATAATTTGTACATATATCTGAATAAAGTATATGTAGGACTAATTTTTTACATATAATAAATTCGTACATATGGGTGACTCCTATTTTGTATAGTTCGAACGTATTGATATATTTATGCACTTGCATTAATTAGTCACCCATATGAGTGACTCACATTTTTATAATTTGTACATAAATTTAGTTCATGTGAAAAATAAGAGTAGAAAATAAATTTAATAGAAAAGATATATTTCAATAAAAGGAAGGACTAATTTGATAGATGAAAAAGAAGAATGCGTTTGCTACAGGAAAAACGCAAATATGGGTTTTGATGAGAGAGAAAAGTAGCAAAAATCCATTTTGAGTTTGAGTTTGCAGTTCGGTTGGACTCTTTTTACTGCATTTTTTGCTTTTTTGGGATTTGGTTGGAGAAGGTCTTATGGTGCGTTTCACGTGCCCATTTATTTTTCCCTTCTACTTGAACCATGCGATGACGGACTCGTTTTCCCCCACGTTAAAATTAATTTTATTTTCTTATATTATTATCTTTTATTTTATATATGAATATGGATTTCAAATTTAAAATCGATTAGTGTAATATATTATATATAAAAAATGGACACTATATATTATTAATTTTTTACTAAAAAGTCCTTACTAGATGCATATCTTTCTTATATATTATTCCCGAATGCGCTGAGCCTACGTGGCTGTTTCTGTTGCTTCGAAATTCTACTTGGCAAAGAATCATGCTTCGTATTTAGGTTTGGACAAAAAATATTGATATATTAATAATTAATAATCTAGGTTCGGACTTTCCATAAATATTATTTAGCTAACTTAGGTATTTTAATATAGTTTTTACTAATATAACCCTTTAATTCTTTGTAATTTTACATAGTGAGACACTAAGTGCCTAATATATCTCTGACTTTTGATTTGTTTTCTTCAATTAGCTATTGAATTGTAGATGTATTTTAAAAGTTGATAATATTTGTATTTCTTATCGGTTTTACATATATAATATATCAAATTAATTATCTTTTGATGATCTTCGATTTGACATCCATATTGTATATATGAAATAAATAAATCATATTTATCTTTATAATAATAAAAAATAATATTAAAATTCATTAGAAAAATAAAATTATTTCTCAATTGATATATTTATGTTTAATGTAGTTATATGTTGTAAGTCAAAAAAAATATTATAATATAACATAAGTAAGTCGCACAAATAAAAAAGTGTCATACTAAATATACAATAATATATATTTTTATAAAAGGTATTGAAATTTTCAATTATTTTTTCTCATTAATTTTAGATTTTAATAAAAAATTAGCAAGCACCCGTATAATACACGGACGTTGTACTAGTTTCATTTAGTATTAGAAGAATAATCAATCGTAGTATAATATTTAAGTTTGAAAACTTGCAATAATATATAAGAAAAAAATAATAATTCAAGTACATATACGAAAATAGAAATATGCTTTAGCCAACTGATATATTTTTTTTTTTCAAATACATCTCTATGTATATTTATTATGTATATGTAGCGTTTTCAATACTAAAAACTAATTTTGTTAAATGAATTTTACTTAAACATTTTTTCTTTATCGGACGGTAATATAGATACATCAATTCAAGCACGATCTTGACGTATATATGCTAATACATTACAGAGGAAAAATCAGACAAAAAAGAGAAAACTCAGCTGTCTGAAAAATCTGCAAGCTTTCGAGAGAGATGGAATCTTTCGATGCGTCGCCGGCTTCTTTTGACGGCGGAGAGTACACCAGCTACGACGATTCCTACGCCGCCTTCTCCTCCTCCGCTGACACACCGCCGTACTCAGCTCCAGCCTACACTCCGGAGTACGGCGGGGCCGATGAGGTGCCGGTGGATCACGCGGACAGCCCAGATCCGTTCGGATTTGGATCGAGCCCTCCCCAGCCGTTCGGATCAGCCGGCTCGGTCCCGATCTCTAACGGCAACGGAGATTCGCGTTATAACCTCGGGGAAGATACGGAAGGAATTTTCAGATCCGACGGGCCGATCCTTCCACCTCCGAATGAAATGCACGAGGAAGGATCAGCTCTTCGAGAATGGCGGAGGTGAGATTTCCTTTAGCTGTATTGAGTGGTTTTAGGTCGTGTTTGGCTTTTGGGTTGATTCTTTTGTGTTCACAGTTTGATCTGGATTGATATCTCAAAGAGGGAACTGTGATTTGAGCATTTATTTTTTCCGAGTATCTAGCGCGTAGGATTAAATCCCAACTGGATAAAGAGGAGGATTATTTGGTAAAAATATCCTTTGTTGAATCAGATTACTCCTGACTATCTATTTTTAGATTTAGCTTGAATCTTGTTATTAAAGATCCCTTTAGTGCAGTTATATGATTTAGTGTAGCTGAGAGAGTAAAAAGTTTGAGATTGTCTTCACCAAGTTGCTCTACTTGCAATTGGAAGTGAAATCATTAATATCATTGTAAGATATACAGATATTCTACTCATATTCTGTGTTTGGTCTTGCTAAGAAGGAAAATTTTGAATATAGTATTATTTCGATCTACTGGATAATGTTTGCTTTCTTGCCTATATTGTGTTCCTTACAGATCCAATCAGACATTTTTATTCTGAAACGAAACGTAATGTTTTAGTTGGCAGCTTTCAGAATGTTACTAACATCAATATATCCTCCTGTGACCTGTCATTTCACCTCATAGATCACCAAAGCCTAAAACAAACAAGGAACTATGTGTTAGGAATGCAATTCTTTTGAAAAAAGTAATAAGAAAAATGTAACAAAAGTTAACATCCTTTAATTCATCGTCTTTAGTTTTTTCCTTCTCTTAAACTTGTAATGGACAGCAAAATGAAGATTGTTTTCAGCTGCAAACAGAATCTTTCTTTCTCGGTTTTGACTTTTAATGCACATGAAAGTTTGCCAGCATTCTTACCAGTTTCCATGTTTATCCGTTTTTTGGTGGAAGTGAATTGGAGCCCACTTGTCCTACTTGGGCTTTGTTAAATAGATTGTCATTTCAAGAATGTCGAATTGTGATTGAAGTTGGATGTATCTGTTATGAATGCTTACATGTCATACTTATGGTGTGTGTATGTTTCTATGGGGAGACAACACGATGAGGAACATTGAGCATCAGAGTCGATAGTGTTAGTGCATAGGTGGTGCTAAGATAACACAAGCCACAGTATGATTTAATGGCTTGAGTCTGAATAATATGTTAGTAATCCAAACTTTTTTCTCATCTGGTTGATTAATCGATATCAGGCAAAATGCCATTCGGCTGGAGGAGAAGGAGAAGAAGGAAAAGGAAATGCGAAACCAGATCATAGAAGAAGGCGAGGAGTATAAAAAAGCTTTCTACGAGAAACGAAAGCTTAATCTGGAGACCAACAAGACCACCAATAGGGAGAGAGAAAAGGTAAAGTCAGCTCTTAGTTCTCAATTGCCTACATCATTATATAATGCAGGAACCCAACAAAACAAAAAAAAAAAAAG